CCCATCTCGTCGCCCAGCGCAAAGGCAATGGCGTCGGCGGCGAGATTCTTGAGCACCTGCGGGTCGCGGCCGAAGGTCTGCAGCTTGATGGTCTCCTGCAGTTCGAGGCTGTTGTTCCCGCTTCCGCCGCCGTTCTCCTTGACCACGCGCTGCACGGTGATCCACCGCCCGCGGTAGCGCAGGAAGTGCTGGCCGGGAGCAGGGCCGAAGTGGAGCTGGGGCTTGGTGGCGGCCTCGGCGCCGTTCCAGCGGTCTTGGCGGTTGTCGCGCGTGGTGAGCATGCTCAGGTCGCGCCCGTTGGCGCGCTCGGTCTGGTGAGCGAGCCACTTCATGATCCACGCGAAGGCCTCGTCCTCCTTGCGCACCTCGAGCGACACGACGAACTCGCGCCAGAACCGGTCCCACAGCCACTGGGCCGTCCAGCCGACGTAGGCCGCGACCATTCCCATCAGGACGAGCATGAGGCCGCCCGAGAACACGTCGTTGTCCGCCAGCGCGCCGATTCGACCGCGAAGGTACGCGCCTGCCAGTTGTTCGGCCATCGATTGATGATGTTGATGTTGAGGAAGATGGAGGGGTAGATAGGGTTGATTGTGTGATGAAGATAAACTGATGGTTTGGCAACGTCGGTTGGTCGATTAAATACCTTCCCAGTCCCGGTACAACACGCTTATTTGTCGGGCTGGACAAGGAAGCTGTTTCTTGGCATTCTCCGGAGATAATTCTCTGGCTATCGGGCAAACAAAATTAATGGGATTTTGAGATATACGTATCCAGAGTAATATTTCTATAAATCAAAAGAAAAAAAAAGAGGTAATGTTGGTGGGTGAAACATGTTATTACAAACAAAACTCAACATAACCTGAAGGGAATGGTCCAGTCTATGTGGTGGGCTCTCACAACTGGGAAGTGCTCCATCGTCGCCGCCGGGTGAGCCCTCCTCCGCCCTCGCTCCTTCGTGTCTTCGCGAGGCTGCCGGAGGCCGCGGCGTCCACCACCGCCAGGACGGCGTCGGTCGTCTTCCGCCGCGGGATCCCGCACGATGGCCCACCTCCCCGGGAGCACACCAGCTTCGGCGTCCCATCGTCGCGGAGGTCTTGCTCGCGTGTCGATACCTCTTCATTGCTAGCGTCGTGTTCGTTTTCGTTTTCGTTCTGTGCTTTGCCGTCTTCGTTCTTTTGATTGGCGGTGGCGGCCGGCGTCGGTCGGAGGGTCTCGAACCAGCCGCGCATGGCCGAGGCCCGCCCCTCCTCCATGACCAAGGCGACCTCCACGCGCTTCTGCGCCTCCTCGGCCTCAAGCCGGTCCTCCTCCATCCGGTCCTTGATCGCGCGCGCGTAGTCACTGCACACATGCAACGCGCACGTTAGTGCGTGTCGTGTCGTGGCGTGGCGTTGTGTGTCGTGTCGTTGTGTGAGTTGGCCCACATACCATATGAGGTGATCGTTCATGAAGAAGGGCAGCACCATGCGGAACACAAGCCGAAGCCACGTATCCCGCTGCAGGTGCTTGAATATCTGCCAACAAACAACATGTTAGAATGTGTGTGCCATTGTCGTGTGTCGTGTGTCGTGTTGATGGAACGTACTCGAAGTTTGCAGAGGCCGAGGAGGTGGAGGTACATGACGTGTTGGAGCTTGTCGGGCTCGATGATGTTGCCGCCGTAGTCGATGTACTTGAGCTGTCCGGCGTGCTTGTAGGACGTCTCGTGGTTGGTCGCCACACCCGCCAGGTAGCACACCAGACTGTTGCGGATCGACTTGATGTCGGGCACGTCGATGAGCGTGCCGTCCTTCTCCTTCTTCGCCCGCTTCAGCAGCCGCCGGATGAGCCTAAGCAATTGTATTGAATCAATGATTATTAATTGATCAACCACGTAAAGCAATAATAAAACAAATAACAAATAAATACAATAATACTCAAAATAAGAAAAATAAGAAAAGGAAGGGAAAAAGGGTACCAGGAGGGGATGCCGAGAGGGAGACGAGGGATGAGATCGTTTCCGTTGACGAAGCGGAAGAAGCGTTGGCCCATCTTCTCGTTCACAAACTGTGCGTATTGCCTGTTGGTGTTGGTGGAGCGTTGAGCACTGGCGACCGGGCGAGTGGGGTCTGGGCCAAAGAGGAAAACGACGTACAGATCACCGACGCGCGGCTGGCCAAACGTGTAGACGCCGCCGATGGCGTCCTCGGAACCGGGGTAGTCGTTGACCATCTGCGCGCTGAACAGATTTGCCAGCGCGCCGCCCAGGCTGTGTCCCGCCACCCACAACTTTCGCTTCGGCTGCCCATTTCAAATAATAACAAGTAATAAATAATAAATAATAAATAATAAGTACTTTCTCCGTGCGTGTCGCGTGTTCGTGGCTGCAGAACGTGTGTGTGTGTGTGTGTGCGGTGTGTCGTGTGCGGTGGTGCGTACCGGTTGCCTCTTGGCGCGGGTGGGCGTCGAAGAGGCGAACGGGTAGGCCTGGAGCACGCCCAGTTCGTCCAAAATTTTGATCACTTGATGGTACATCGGCGCGTTGTACGACGACGTCGTCAGCTTCTCGTGATAGTCGTGTAGCCCTGGGAAGTAAACCGCACGCACACACACACACCAATCAGATCATGCCACACGAGACACCACACACGCCATGACACACGCACACTCACTCGCACGACCGCACACGACACCATTGGGGGTGTACCGGTGACGCGGAGAAGCTGGCGTCGGTGCCAGAGGACGACGAAGCGCATGAGGGACCAGAGGTTGTTGGGCAGGGTGGGCAGCGCTCGCAGCAGCTTGGCCGGTGAGCAGCGATATCCGTTATCTCGCCGCATGACCACCGGCAGCGTGAGCGACGCCCGGCGCCGGCCGCGCATGAGCGACAGCTTCAAGTTGCGCCCGCGCGAAGAGGAAGACGATGAAGAGAAAGAGAAAGACGACGACGACGATGAAGAGGACGGTGAAGAGGGCGCGTGCTTGTTGAGCTGGTGCGACCTCTGCCACTCCTGCCTGTACTGTCGCTCGGCCTCCTCTTCCTCCTCCTCATCGACGTGCCGCAGGCCCAGCGCCTCGAGGAACCCGCTATGTACATATCCTGATTTTAAGGCGACGACAGGAATGTGTGAGCATTGTCAGCATTCTTGCGAATATTTCGTTCACGAGTATATCTAAATATTAATATTTATGTAGCGACTTACCGAGGGGTCCGGCGTTGACGAGATGGGCCTGGAGGTCGGTGATGTAGTTCCTCAGGTTGAGCGGGTGCGTCCCACAAAACACCTGATGGAAGGATAATAGCAGAGAAAAGAAAGAAAAAGAAAGAAAAAGAAAGAAAACGTGAGTGTTTGACTGGCGTGGACTTGAATGTGGAATGGACGGGAGCCCGTACGAGGAGGACCATTTCATCGTTGGAGGCGATGTAGGCTTTGCTGTTCTGATACCGCACCACGCGGCACTGCGTGAAGCCCCACTTCTTCACCTCGCACTTGATGATGTCCGAGTTCTCGTAGGCCATCTTCGCCGCCAGCGCCAGGGAGTAGGCCTGTTCCCACACACCAAACCCAAAGGCCCAACGTCCGAGGCGATTCGTGTAAGCCCAACAACAGAAGAAGAACGAAAGCGAGGGCTGACGAGGAAAGCGAAAGCGAAAGCGACAGAAAGCGAAAAGCGAAAGCTAAGGAGAGGAAAGAAGAAGGAGGAGACGTAAGAAGAGAAGAGAAGAGGGAGACCTTGGCGTGAGAGTACTCGAAGTTGCTGAACTCATGGTCCTGGTTGATGATGTCCTTCTGGTCCTGCTCTTCGCGCTCCTGCTCGGCCTCGGTCGCACGTTGGCTTTCGTTGTAGGTGTGCTCCTACAACCAGCGGCGCCGCACGACAAGAACACAGGTACGAAGAATTATGTAAGCAAAGAGAATACAGAGGAGAGGAGGTAGAAGAAGAAGATGATGAAAATGATGACACTACCATGGCCTCTTGGAGATCTTCTGGTCCTGTTCTCTTGTCTCTTCGAGAAGACGACGACGAGGATGATGAAGAAGAAGGTGATGGTGATGCTGTACATGACGTGAATAGCGAAGAGGAGGAAGAGGCTGAAGAAGATGAAGAAGATGATGATAGAGAGCAGAAGCCGTCAAAGTAGGGGTCCATGACGTTGACGAGGGAGTAGGGGCGGCTGGTGTCCTTGTGGTGCCCCACGAAGTGCTTGAGAATCCATCGCAGCAGCTTCTCGAAGAAGACCAGCGCGTAGAACCACGCGATGAACGTCCACCTGTCCTCCACACCCACACCACCGAGCCCCATGTCGTGTGTCGTGTGTTGTTGTTGTTGTGATGTGATGGTCGAGTTGTGTGAGTGCGTTGTGTTGTGGTTGTGTGTTGGGCCAAGGTGAGACAAAAAAGAGCAAAGCGATTGGTGCTATGTGTGAACATAGACGGGAAGAAAGAAGAAGAAGGAGTGACAGCAGCGCCTCGACCAACCACCCTCCTTCACCCGGCTATGGGTAACAAGCAGCTATAATCGAGGATTGAGCCTTGTCGATGCCAGACACAAGCCAACGGCGCCGCTGCGCGAAAAGCAAAGGAAAGGGGACGAAGAAGAAAGAAGAGACCTCCTCCTCAACCATCACGACCACAAGCAACAACCGTTGCAGCAGCAGCAGCAAGGAGGACAGGGACCACCGAACAAGCACGAGACGAACAAATAACAGACCACATAAATAATAATAAAATAAATGAGAGAGAGAGATGTAGAGAGAGATTTGTGGAAGAGGGAGAGCGCCTGAACCTGAGGAGGTGGTTGGCGCCAGACTCGATGCCAGGAGTGTAGCGGATGGCCTTGAGGAGGGGCACGAGCACGAAGGTGGTGCAGACGAAGGCGAAGCCCAACATCTTCTTGCCGAGCGAGAAGAAGAGGAGGAAGAGCACGCACGGGAGGAAGACCAGCCACGAGAGCCAGAAGGTGAGGAGAAGGCCGAGGCTGGGTACGATGTAGGTCCAGGCGAGGGTCCACCACAACCAGTTCCAGCACCACTGCCAGAGCGAAGACGACGTCGATCGTGTAGCGCCGGCTAAAGATGAAGAAGTCGAAAATGAGGAAGAGGGCGAAAGTGCTGAGGTCGTGTAGAGGCCCCTCAACGTCGAGGGCACCACCTTCTCGATATGGGCAGGATCATCTTTCTCTCGAAATCGATCGAAACTGAGGGAAGAGGTTGAAACGGGCGATGACATCGACCTCGTTGGTTCCGTCGAGGTTCTACTTAGAATCCGGGGAGAGGAGGATATAGCGAAGATGAACCCAGTAAAAATGAAGAAATTATAAATCAATGCCGCATGCGGCGGATCGATGTGGGAGCGATGAGGAGGAAAAAAATCGCCGATCAAACAGCAGTGGCGCGAGAAGAGACGGCTACAGTTTGATGGTGCAGAGTAAAGACGTTATCTCCCGTTCGACGAGATGTCAACGCCTCAAAAGGCGCGGAAAGTTGAGGTGGCCCTTTGCGGTTGGTGGGCGCCCTCGATGAGGTCGGATGACACCATTTCGTTTGCTTTTTCTCTTTTCGATCTCCGCGGATCGAACTCACAAGGGAAAATAAATGAAACCCAAAAAGAAATGCGACGATCAATTCCACGCATTCCTGCTCTTGCTGTTGGCCCTACTTCCTTCTCTTGATCTTGCTCACAGCGCTCACCGCGGCCAGCTCGGCTGTCGCGCCTCCAGAGCTCGACATTGCGTTGGGCTGGTTGGTGCTGGGTGGACCGTGTGGTGTGGCCGGGGCTGAGGCAGGCGACGATGACGATTCCGGGGCGACTACGGCAGCCGCGCGCAGCTGCTGGAGGATCGATGTGGCGCGGGGCTGTGTGCCTTGTCGCCCTTGCGCCTGAACACGCTGCTCCCGCGCTTCCGCTTCTGCTTGGCCGGCTGCGACTTGCCCCCGCCGCCGCCGCTGCCCCCGCCGCCCACGATGCCGCTCCCGATCCACACGCCGATCGTGCTGCCGATCACGTTGGGTCCCTCGCCGTACCCACCGCCGTCCTCGCTCAGCTTGTTGACCAGCGAGACCACGGCGTCGGCGGTGAGGCTGTTGTCCCAGGCGTCGTCCAGGGCATCGCTGAGCACGGTGTCGCTCACCAGGCTGTTGCTGGGCGACGACGATGACGACGACCGCTTGGCGACAGGCCAGGCCTCGTCGCCCGAGCTCGACCCGACCGAGGTGGTGGACGACGTGCGCCCACCGACCGAGTGCTCATCCTCGTCGCCGCCGCTTCCGGGAGCCGCGCCGGCGTTGTCGCCACCGACGGCGATGGGCGTCCTGCTCACCCGGGAGCCCATCTTCCACATCTCGAGGTACTTCTGGCCGTTGTAGTCAGTGAACGTTCCCTGGCCGTTCTTCTGGTCGTTCAGGAATGGCCCTGGCGTGTGTCATGCAATATGTCAGTCAACGATTGGTACATTAGAGTAATAAAACAAAAAATAAATGCTAGTGTGTAGGTTCACCTTCATAGCAGCTGCCATTGGGGTAGGTATAGACGCCGTGCCCACAGAAGCGACCATTAGCAAATTTGCCACTGTACTTCCGCTCGTCTGCGAGGAAGGAAGGATGATGATGAGCAATGATGACCTCTTGAATCACATATGTAAATATTACATATATATATATATATAAATCTTCTGTAGTGGTTGTGTGAGGGAGCGATGCCTTTGTATATGTAGGTGCCCTGTCCGTGCATCTTGTCGTTTCGGTACTGGCCCTTGTAGATGTCGCCCCCGGAGAACGTGTACTCGCCGTAGCCGTGAAACATGTCGTTGGCGAAGTAGCCCTCGTAGCACTCTCCGTCGGCATAGCTGTACCGCCCCTTGCCCTTGAAGTTGTCGTTGTAGAAATCGCCCTGACACAGTCACGTTCACCCTATATGTGAGTTTCTTATCATTCATTCCATGGTAACTGGCCAGCCCGAGCTGTGAGCGCGTATAAATAAATACCTGGTAGACGCTCCCGTCGGCGAATGTGTAGACGCCGTAGCCGTGCTTCTTGCCTTCGGCGAAGTCCCCCTCGTACTTGGTGCCGTCCGCCGACATGTACCTCCCCTTGCCGTGTCGCTTGCCTACGAATATAAATGAAACAGATAGATAGTAATGATGTGTGGTATGAGTGTGAGTGTGAGTGTGTGTGTGTGTGTGTGTGTGGAAAATAAAGAAGCAACGTTAATGATCGGGGTTGCACCTTTGGCGAAGAACCCTTCGTAGTGGCTGCCGTCGGCCAGGGTGTAGGTGCCCCGCCCGTGCTTGCGTCCCTTCTTGAAGGAGCCCACGTACCGCCGGCCGTTGGAGCACCTGATCTCGCCCTGCCCGTGTCGCCTGCCGGCCTTGAACTCGCCCCGGTACACGTCACCCTCCTAGTTGAGGAATTTGTCACAAACGAATAAAAAGCTGTCTCTCTGAATCCCAGGACTTGGCCCGGTGTGTTACCTTGGAAGTGAAGGTGTTGAATGTAATCAAGTTCCAATTGGAGCTGACCTCCCGGTTACGCGGCGTGCTTGTCGGTTCGTCGCCCTGTGGTAATTTATTAATAACTGTGATTCTTTATTATTGTGTGTTGTTTTATCAAGCAATTATTATTCGTCAGGTGTGGGCATGGGCCGTACCTGATCTGGCTTGTCCTTCAGCTGCTGGAGATGCTGCTTCATGATCTCCAGAGAGGGCTTTTCCTTGGTCATGTCCCGCGTGCCCTCGTACACGTTGCCTGAAGGCGCACAGCACAACCAAACACCCATGCGTGAGTGCCTTTCCTGCGCGTGGGAAGAGAAAGCGTGCTGCGTAGTTTGAGGTGCCACCTTGGGAGGTCACCAGACGCACGGACGGGTTGCGGTTGTTGGCGTAGCGCAGCTCCACCACCCGGCCATCGGGAAACACTATCTTCGCCGCTCCCTCTGGCTTGCCGTCCCTGAACTCACCTGGGAGTGCAGGACACAGCTTTAGCAAAGACAACAATATAAAAGAAATATATATATTGATATAGAAATATTATCTTTCAATTATTTTAAGATATGCCAAGTTGACTTTCTTAACGTGGGGAGGGTAAGGAAATACCGTGAAAGGTGGTGCCGTCGGGGAGGGTGAAGATGGACGGGCCGGACGGGACGCCTCGGTGGAGGCTGCCCTTCCACCTGCCCCCCTTCTGTGGCAGGTCGAAGACCCCGGGTCCCTCGATCTGGTTGTTCTTGAAGCTGCCCTCGAACCGTAGCCCTGTGTCGCACAGCAGCACCCCCGAGCCCTCCCTTCGCCCCGCCTTCACCTGCCCCACATACGAACAGTCGCTCGCCTCCATCTTCCTCTGACCAGAAAAAGAGCAGTTACTGCGCATTTCGTTCGGTATTTGAATTTTGATTTTCCTTCTTCGCGGTTACCTAGGGAATCAACTTAGCCAAACTTGTTTGTGTTTCGAAAACGACTTGCGAAAAATTCAAACGTAAAGTCAAACATGTTTGCGGTGCGAGGAGTATGTACAGGGTTGTGTGCGTGGGGGGTTGGGTGTTGTGGGCGTCGGCCGGTCTACTCGGCGCCCGCCGCCGCAGTTCGCCTCCTTCGCAGCCGCTGGCTCTCTTCTTGCTCCTCTTCCTCTACCTCGTCCCCTCGATCGGCTTCTCGTTCTCGTTCGTCTTCTTCGCCTCGTCGTTGCTGCGGTGGCAGAGGCTGCTGGGGCTGAGGCGGCGCTGGCGCGCCGGCGTCGTCGGGCGCGGTCGGCGGTTCGGCGACGTCGTGGACCACGAAGTGGCCGGTGCCCGTGTTGAGCCAGATGCGATAGATGCGCACCAGCCGGCGCGCGGTGAGTCCCAGCCCGATGAGGCCGTACTCGACGACCGAGACGAACAGCAGCAGCGACACCACCTTGAGCGAGTGCAACGTGTAGGGGTCGACCGCCACCGCACCGCTCCGCTCCATCAGCAGCGCGTCGACCAAGTCCGCCGGAATCTCCGATGCGTACTCGTCGCTCGCGGCGTCAGCGGTGGTGCCGTTGGTGCTGTTGATCACATCAGCACCGGCGGCAGCGGCGGCGTCGTGTGAGAGGCGCAGCGAGGGGTCGAAGAAGGTGGCCGGCCGCAGCACGATCCACACGAACAGCAGAACGAAGTAGAGCACGGCGTGGCCGATCAGTAGGAGCCCGTAGTTGCGCCCCGCGTTGTTGCCGTTGCGGTTCTCTCCGTCGTCGTCGTTGTTCGCGTTCGGCCGGTTCTGGACGTTGTTGTCGACGTTGAGATTGTGAAGAATGTTGAGATTGTTGAAATTGTGGTTGGGCGCGCCGGTGAGGTAGTTGAAGTGGATGAAGAAGAGGATGGAGATCATGCCGACGCAGTCCATGACGTAGCGGAGCCACACCTTCCTGACCTCGTCCTGGTCGATGACCACGAGCGAGAAGTAGACCGAGTTGAACAGGACGAGGTAGGCCAGCGTGGCGTAGACCATCCGCACCTTCTCCGGCGCGGTGAAGGGCGACAGGTGCGTGCGGAGGTACTGCGCGAACAGGCCCGCCTGCGACTCCGTGCGCCGCTCGCGGAGGTACTGCGTGACTAGTTCGTCGATGCTCCGCACCCCCGACACGAACTCGCGCGCGCCCGCCTGCAGCCGATTTCCGATTTCATCTTCGTCGGCCGCAGCCGCAGCCGCTGCCGCCGTAGCTTCCGGCGCATCGAGCGGTGCTCCCTGAGCGGTCGCATGAGGCGACGGAGCTGAAGTCGCGGCCGCGGCCGTCGCTTGGCCGACTTCATCATCGGCCTCCGCGTCGGTGTCGACCTTCTCCTTGCCCTTCTCCGCTGCTTCTCTCGTGAACATGTCGACGTCCACGTCAGCCTCGCCGCCGGCGATTTCCTCGATTTCCTCCTCGTTTCCCAGCTCGCCGGGCTGTTCTTCTTTTACTTCATCGGCGCCGTAGAGCTCTTCTTCTTCTTCGCTGTCCTCAAGATGGCCGAGGTTGGACTGCACGCGGCGCAAGGCCGTCTCGGCCTCTCGCGTGACGAGATCGACGTGGTCGGTCGGGGCGAGGCGCGGTTCCCGGTCGAGCTGCTGCCTCCGTCGCAGGTGCGCGTGCACGTCGCCGTAGGTCGGCTCGTCGCCTCCGTCGGTGGAGGCAGGCGCCGGCGCCGGCTGTGCGGCAGCGAGAGGGTCCGCGTGGCGGGCGGGCAGGTTGTTTCGGACCGAATCGACCAGAGTGCGATGCTGCTGCTCCATGCCATTCAACTTGAACAACAGCTGTGACAACACTTTCCATCAGACACCATAGGAATCCACACCGCACACGCGCACACATTACCGCACGCACACACAAGCAAGAGGGGGGTGGGTACCTCGTCACGTAGCAGCATGAGCTGTTGCTGCCGGCGGACGTTCTGCCAATCCTTGAAGTGATCCCAGACTGCGCGAACGTGAACCCAGATGGCGACGCCGAAGATGCCCAGCGTTTGGAACAGGAAGAACGACACGTAGTACACCTGATTGTGTGCGTACGTGCGTGCGTGTGTGTGGTGTTGGGGGGGAGGGGGAGCGACAGATGATCATCAGCACTGAGTGACAACAACGAAGGAAGGAGCTCGGCGAAGCGAGGAGAGGGCACCTGGTTCCAGTACTCGTAGTGGTCGTCCCGAGCAGACTTGTCGTAGAGGAAGCGAACGAAGTTTCCGGCCATCTTGCGCGACATCAACGTCGGGTGGAAGGAGAACGGGAAGCCCGGGCCGTGCTCCGACGTCGCGTGGGCGAGCTCATCGACCACGTCGTCGCCATTCTGTTGTCGCGTCGCTGCCAACTCATCTGCGATCTCCGCTTCTTCTGGAAGCGCGACTTGGGTCTCGCCTGCGAGCTGATCCATCGGCGCCGCGCTGTTCGCGGCCGATGATGCCTCGACGTCAGCATCGGCCAGCAGTGCGAGGTAGTGCGTGATGCCGATGCCGGCCAGCACCGTGCCCACGAACCCGTAGCCCATGACCAAAGCCAGTCGGCACAGGCCCGTGTCGACGTTCTGTACATTCCAAAAGCGAGAGGTCAACTGACAGCGCCCATAATCGCCGGCCTGGTGGGTGGGTGGTGGGTGGTGGGTGGTAAAGTAAACGGAAACGGCACCCGAGAGAATCGGGAGCGGAGCAACCAGTTGACAGCGGCGACGAAGGCGACGTAGACCAGAAACACTGCGCACTTGCCCGTGGGTCCGCACACGTAGAACCAACAGAATATACAGAGTTGCACCGAGCCTAGTAGTGCCAGGAACAGTCTCATCAGTACGCGAACACGTGTGTCGTGTCGTTGGTCGTGTAGTTGGTCGTGTACCGATGATTGTCGCTCTGGTCGAATCGGGTGCGGTCATCCACACGTTGGCAAGGCTGCCGCCATGCCTGATAAATCCCCCCATACCCACATGTTAGTGAGTGTCGAGCTCCATAATAATACCAAATAAATAAATAATAATAGGTAACAATAATAATAGGAGTGCTGGTGTACCGGCGGAGGTGGCGCAGAAAATTGTAGAGTCGCACGGAGGAGACGCACAGGAGGAGGCCGATGTTGAGAACGATGGAGGTCGACGATATGCCCTCCAGCAGCACCCCCATCGAACTCTTCCACGTCATCTGCTGCAGGAACGCCTTGTACTCCAAATCCTGCCGGCACACCACCACCGTCCACATTAGAAGAAGACTAAGAAGACGACGAAGCAAGAAGAAGAGCGGGGGAGAGTACCTCCTCTAGGGAGAGACCAGGATAGCTGAGCCACTTGTAGTAGAGACTGGCGTAGCCCATGAACTGCGAGAAGATGACAATTGCAAACACGAACGTGGGTACGATGTAGTAGACCAGCACCTGCCTGTCCACCTCCCTGCTCACATCATCATGGATCATACCACGTCGTTGTTGGCCGTCAGTGAAGAAGGTGGACCGGAGCAAGCCTGGCAAGGTGGTGGTACCTGAAGGCGATGAGATAGAAGATGGCGGCGCTGGCGCCAACACCCACGGCCACCATGACGCAGAACGCGGCCAGCTTCGTGTGGTGCTCGGCGGCAAAGAGGAACAGGCAGTACAGCCCAATGTACAACAGAGACTGCAGTGCATTGACACATGGTAATGAGCTGTGGTGTGTGTGTGTCGTGTGTGTCTGGGCGGCCAACGACGAGAAGACGTACAAGATAGATGGCGTGGACGAGCGGTGGTGACTGCGAGGAGAAGAGGAAGCCGGCGAGGCCCTTGTGTGGTTGCGTAAAGGAGATGCGGAACTGCTGTCCACACACCTCGCACGCGGGCTTCTTGTCGCTACGGCGGATGTAGGTCTTTATCCACATCTCTTGACATTTCTGCACAAAGCGAAGATAAAGAGAATTAATCAAAAAAGATAAGAGGAGGATACATCAGATTGAAATTGATGATGCTTAACACGTGAATGGGTACCTCGTGCACGTAGAGGAGAGAACCCTTGCAGGCGCAGGGACGAATAAGCTTGCCGAGGGCTTCGCCAGCCTCCTCCCCACCCACTTCTTCCTCTTCTGGACCGCGGCAGATGCGGCAACATCGTTCAACCTCTCCATCTTCGTCCTCCATCTTGGAGGGCACTTCCTGATGTCGTGGGGGTGCGTGCACCTGATCTGTTCTAATTGTGAGCTGCTATCTCAGGCGCGTGATTAATAGAAATTATATTAGGAATCAAAGAACGGCACCTGCATGCACTGCGTCGTCCATTGTTTGCAGACGGTTGGTAAGAGGTGGTGCAGCCTTGCCTCTTGCCTCGCCTCCTGAACCAGAAATCTTGGATCCCTTTTATTTCTCGTTTCTTTTCTTTTCTTTGACTTTTCTTTTTTACCGATCTCTAGCTGCATTTTCCGGTTTTGTGCATTTTTATATTTTTCTTTTCCTTTCTTTCTCTGCCACGCGGTAAGGAAAAGAATTTGAGGCTCGGGAACGCAAGGCATGTGTTACGACAAAAGAATTCGAGGCTCGGGAACGCAAGGCACGTGATACTAAAGAAGAATTTGAGACTCGGGAATGCAAGGTACGTGACATCATAGAAGAATTTGAGGCTCGGGAACGCAAGGCATGTTATGCTGCAGAAGAATTTTAAGCTCGGGAACGCAATGTTACGACAAAAGAATTCGAGGCTTGGGAACGCATGGCACGTGAACCAAAGAAGAATTTGAAGCTCGGGAACGCAAGGACTGCTGAATTCAGCAAAAAAGAATTCTACGTATGCTTTGTTTCCGCGAAAAATTCAGCAAAAATCGGAATAGCCTTGGGGAAAACAGTAGGGAAACCATACTTATTTTTTCTCTTGTTTTCCTTTTGTCTTTACCTAGAACAAAAGAAAAACACGATGCTGCTGACAGGAAAATCGAAATTAGGCGCGAGGTGAAACCGTTGGTCGCCATCAGCGGGGGAGCCCCCCTCCCCCCCTCCCCAAACAACTTCTTCTTTTCTTTTCTACACCAAGTCCGCCTCATGCGCGGGGAAGCTCACGCGACGCGACGCAGACTCCACCGTGCTGGCCCACGTGCTGACGACCCTCAACGCGAGGCACGACTACGGGCTCGACCTCTTCCTGCTGTCCGTCGACGAGGGCGTCACCGGCTACCGAGACGACTCGCTCGAGGTGAGACTCGCCTCCCCTCCTCACCACCACCACCACCGCCCTTGCTCCTCTCGCTCTCGCTCTCGCTCTCGACGTTGCCTCCCTCTCCGACCACCACCGACCACCACCGCCAGACGGTGAAGAGGAACAAGGAGCAGTACCAGCTGCCACTCAAGGTGATCCTCCTCCTCCTCCTCCTCGTCGTCGTCGTCCCGAGCATAGGTTCGCGGCAGGAAACTAGAACTGCAATCGTTTGTGGGCTTGGGCGCAAGTGGCCGCAGCTATGGTGAAGCTGACACCAGCATCATCCCCGTGTGCGGCGCGCTCGTGTGCAGATCCTCTCCTATCGGGATCTCTATGGGTGGTCGAGATGGACGATATCGTGCGCGTGATCGGCCTCCGTAACAACTGTACGTGTGTGTGTGTGTGTTGTGTGTGTGTGTGTGTGTCGCCCCGCCGGGCTGCGCACCCGTGATCGATTACAATCAATCAATTGACGCGCCTGGTGACCGTATCGGCCGTGGCTGACGCTGCCGCCGCGATTCCCAAACTACGCGGCCTGCTCAGTGAGCCCGATGTCTCTCGTTTTGATGAGAATTGCTTTTCCTTTTTTCTGCCGCCTCTGCTGCTGCGCACTCTCACTCCCGTTCTCTCTCTCTCCAGTTCTCCGGGGTGACTCGTCCCGGCTGCGGCGATGCGTGGACATCATGACGGGCAGCAAGGGCACGCCGCCCCGGTGTAAGCCTTTCGAGTGTACGAGAAGGAGATCGTCATGTACGATCGACCCAGCACCAGCACCAGCACCTTAATGTCATTCGATTCTCCGACACTCAAGGCGCGGCGCCGTTGTTACGCCTCCTAACGCCTGGGGAGTCACTGTGTGGGTGTGGTGTGTGCACGAAACGAAACGTAAACCGAAATAAAAGCGATACGCTGAAAGTTCGGAGTGGGACAAGTTAAAAATCGGGCTGGTCATTAAAGTTCGGAATAAAAAAAGGCGCCAAAAACGCGGAAAGGGAGGGGGGTCAGCAGTAACATCCTGGAAAAGGGTTAAAAAAAGGACGAGCCTTCCTTTTTGTATTTCAACGCCTCACCCATCGGTTTCCGTACAGAAAAAAATAAGATGGAGGTGCCCGAGGAGATCCAGCAATGGTGGGGGGAGGAGTGGAGGTTCTTGTGTCGCATCCCAGCGACGGCGCTGGCGGCGTGGTGGTGTGGCGAACACCCTGACGCACCGGACTTCTGCAAGGCGGCGTGGCGGACGCAGTCGATGAGGGTCAACAAGTCGATGGTGAAACTAAGCGCCCACGCAAGAGGAGGGGAGAGGTCGAACCCGCGCATCGTCGGCACTATGGAGTGGGAGGCAGTCGACGAAATCGGCGAGAATCCAAACTTCGTGCTGAGCGAGATGGCC